ACTCACACACACACACACACACACACACACACACACACACGGAGCAAGGCGGCCAAACCCCATCCTACCCCTCAGGACCCACTGCTCGGGTCCCACACCCAGACTTTGTACAGGTCTGTGTGGCTCCCCACCCACCTGGAGATGGATTCCTCCAGGTGCCGGGCCTTCTGCTCATCCTCCTGCATCTGCCTCCTCATGTCTTTGTCGCCCTCTGAGGCTGAGGACGGAGTCCCCTCCAGCAGCCATCGTTCCCGCAACGCCTTGGACTGGGGGCAGCAGGAGGCAGGGTCAAAATCAGGGTCGGAGTCTGGATCAGGGTCCCCTCAGGCTTCCTGCTCTCCCAGCCCCATACCCGACCGAGACTTGGGGCCTCTGGGCACTGCCGGCCCCTCCCGCCCCTCTGCCAAGGCCGGGCTCTGGAGGGGGAGCCCGACGCCTGGTACCTTCAGATGCTGCAGCTGCCGCCGGTCGTCCTCCAGCTGCCGCCGTTCTCCAGCACCTCGATCTCCTGCTCCAGCCTGGGGAGAGGGCGCAGTGACAGCCTCACCAGGCCCTTCCGCACGCCCAGCACCATTCTGGGCCCTTTCCATTGGGGACCCCTTGACTTTGATGTTCCCTAACACTTTGTGAGGTATTCCTGTCACTTCCCCTCGTGATTGGGGAAACTGAGGCAGAGTGAAGACTGCACGTAGCCAGCAAGTAGCAGAGCTGGAACCTGAACCCAGGCTGCTTGGTCCCTTCACCACCCATGCCATTGCTGACTTCATTTGCTTCCAACTGACTCTCCTTTTTCCCCCACTCAAATACTTTTATTTTTACAGGAAGCTTTATCTCTACAGGAAAACTGGAAAAAACATGTCACTTTCCAAGTATCAGAAGATAACTAAACATAAACCTGTGAAAACAAAGCTTGTATATTAAATCCTGCCCAGCTGCCCCTACCCAGAGGGACAGACAAGGATGAGTCTGCAGCCTTCTAACAAAATGAGCCCATGTCAACAGGATGGACACAGCTTGGGTCAGCCTGGAGGGCTTCCTGGAGGAGGTGTCCAGTCAGGGGACACCAAATGGGCAAAATTCGGCTGGTAGAGCCACCGTGGAGCTACTCTTAGAAGGAGAAAGCCCAGGCCTCTCCACAGCACTCAGCATGTGCTTAAACTCACAGTAGGGTTCAAGCGAGCCCCTCCTTACCCCAGGGCCGCACCCAACAAGGTGTGAGATAAAGAAGTTCACCTTGTCCAGCCAGTAATTCGTGGCCAGTAATTTCCACTGACTTTCCACCCCACCCAGCAAGCACTGCTCTGGCTGGTCGGTCAGTCCTGACTGTCTCTATGTAGACCCGTCTCAGCCCTCAGCTTAATGTCTGTTAGACTTAAGATGCACAGCCTGGCTGGCATAGCTCAGTGGTTGAGCACTGACCTATGAAACAGAAGGTCAGGGTTCAATTCCTGGTCAGGGCACATGCCCAGCTTGTGGGCTCAATCCCCAGTTGGGGGTGTGCAGGAGGCAGCCAATCCATGATTCTCTCTCATCACTGATGTTTCTATCTCTCTCTC